AGCTTTTCCTGGAAAAAGCATCCGAAGAAGTGGGCTATAGTCCACGAAAGCTTATGCTCTAATAAATTTGTTAGTCTCTAAGGTGCCACAAGTCCTCCTGTTCTTCTTTTTGCGGATACAGACTAACACGGCTGCTACTCTGAAACTTTTCCCTTTTGAACTTTCGAGGGCTCTGCAAAGCCTGACTCTGAAACTCATTTGATTCCAAGAAGCTGATGGAACCACAGCTGAAATATCCCAGGCTGTCTTCGTCATTTTCACTTGGGGAGAATGGGGAGCGTTTACTCCCGTGGCTAAGCAGTAGGCAGGTAACGCACGCTCTGGCTGTTTCATGATCTACTTCTGCAGCAGGCAAGATCTATATCCAACAGCGCTAGTGTTGGCTTTCGATTTAGATTTGATATCCCCTCCAGTCTCAAAACACAACCACCTCTGGAAAGAGCAGGGCCAGCCATTAAAATGCCCATTTAGAGACTTTGGAAATGTTGCAGAGGGAAGAATAATCGGACAAAACTCTCTGGGAATTATTAAAAGGAAGCGGGAGGGGGGGAGATTGCAATCAATGGTAATCAAGGCCACAGACAGCTGACTCAGCACAGAAACCACAAACGGGTGTCCAAGGTAACAGACATAATGAGGCTTCTATGATTTGTGAGGGATACAGAATCTGTCTTTGAAAGACACAAGCATGGAGAACACCTTCATCTAGAAAACTTTATATGCCTCAGTGATGCTGTCCTAGCAGGGCTGAGTCTCAGATATAGGCCCCCTCTTGTGAGCACTGGAGGGGCTGGGGGTGTTTCTTTTAAAAGACACAGGACTAACAAGGCCTCTTTGTTGTGTATCCTTTGAACCAATGCTTTGCCGATGGAGCTGGCAGTCCTAGTGGGCCGGTTTTGGAATAATGGATCTGAAGTAGAGATGTGTTACACTGACAAAAAAACCCAGGTCAGGTTCAGTACAGCCGAACCCTCCTCTGCCCCGGCCTTCTCTTCCCTATATTGAAATGGGTGGTTGGGGATCAGGAGGCCTCTACTGAGTGTCTACACTGCAGTTAGACGCTAGCTGACTCGGGTTCACGGTTGTTTAATTGTGCTGTAGATGTTCAGACTCGGGCTGGAGCTCAGGCTCTAGGACCTGCAAGGAGGAGTGTCCCAGAGCTCAGGCTGCAGCCCAACCCAAAACATCTACACCACAATTAAATTACAGCCCCTTCGCCCGAGCCTGCTGGCACGGGCCAGCTGCGGGCGTCTAATTGTAATGTAGACATTCCATGAGAGACTTCAGATAGTGTGGGTGTGGCTTGCTCATCTTGCTGCCTGCAGGATATGACCTTCGCTGGGATCCGAGTGGTTAGAGACAGAAAAGAGCTATCAGAGCAAATGCTCACCCCTCCCCCACCTGCATATGAGGGGAGTGCAAGCACCTCCTCCCCAGAAGGAGGTGCCAGACATTGAACACATTTAAACATTTTATTAAAGCTAATGTTTAAAATCAAATTTGCACAGGTTAAGAGGGAAGGGGTCAGGCTTGAGTTATGAGAGATTACAAGCATCGGTTACAAGGTTCACAAGCTACATACCTAGTACATAACCAGCATAGACCCAGATTGGGGTGCGGGATTTTTAAAGAGTCAGTGAATAAGTGATCTCGGGTATGCCACCCATTGACTTGAGCTTTCATCCCCTTTTATTGTCCTGCCGGCCTGAATGCTCTCATCCGGCTGAGATCTCTCTACAACTGCTCTTAAAAGCAAACGTGGAATTCAGGAAGGAGACAGAGCAACTTCTGATGAACATGGTCTAGATCTAGAGCCTGTATCACCCCCTCCACCTCCCTCCTGCCTGTACCATCCCGTGCCACTCCTGCTCACACACTTGTGGCTTTCAAGTAGCACAATCATTTCTTTTAAGGCAGAAGAGTAAGAGGCTAGAGCTAGCAAGTGGGAGCCCGGAGACCTGCGTTCCACTCCCTACTCTACCACTCACTCACAGTGTGACAACCTCCCCGTGCCTCAGTTTCCCCTTCTGTAGCTCTGGGCTAACAGCGTGCTTAGAGAGGCTCTGATGAGCGGTCGGATGGAAGTGCAAAGAGCCCTTATAATTGTCATTAAGGAACACAGCGAGTACCAGTATAGTAGTGAATATATGTGAGGCAGGGGGGTTGGAGTGGGGGAAGGGAGGCGGTTGGGAACCTGAAGGCCTTGGAATTAAGCACCATTCCCTGCATACCATGTGTTATGGAAACCAGTGTGTCAACACACAGCTCCTCCAAACCAAACAGGGAGTGGAAGGGCTCTTGAATAACTCTCCACATTCCCAGCATGCACTAACTCTATACATCTTTACTTATGGGCCTGGGCCTGGGTGGCGTCAAACCCCTTCAACTCCCATCAGATTCAGTGGCACTTGTTGTAAGCATCAGAAGCAAGTCTTGTGTGTGTTTCAGGGGGCTGGACACTTGGCCGCAGCACAAGGCATTTTGGGATTGTGCTTTGGCCCCTAATGGGCTTTCTAAAAAAAAAAAACAGACGTCCCCCCCACAGAGGGGTTGACCTGCACCCACTCTCTTAGCAGGGGCTGCGTCCTTTGTCTCAGCTAAACCCGGGGGAAAGGGGCCAACAGAAGTTGCTATGCTGACGTACCCATGGGCTGCAGCCCTAAGTCATGGCTGCCCCCCAAAGCCCCTGGTGCATGCCACACTGCCCCAGCCGGAGCTGGGGAGAAGGAGCAGGGAGCCCTGTTCAGCATATCTCCAGCAGGTTTGCTTTATGCCAGGGGCACACATGACAGACACAGCGGGGGATTCTTCGATAGCGACTCTAGGGAGATGTAAGCAGGCAAATAGCATCTACGCGTACAGGCATTAAAAGGGGGAAGAGGCTGGGGAAGTGGAGCCCGTAAGGAGAAAAAGTAACGACAGCCTGGACTGTATCTGAAGCAAGGAATTAGAGTGGGAAGCATTTTAGGCTGCTGGGGTTTGATCCTGCTAGGTACTGAGCGCCCTCAACTCCCATTGACTTCAGCCCCTCACAAGATCAGGCCCTTAGGTGAGATTTCATCTCCCCCTCTCCCCCACTCCCCTGTTGTTTCATTGAGAACGCTGTGAGCTATTGGTTCAGTAATGAGTCAAAATTACCAGGAGCTGGGAGACAGGGGCAGGGACCAGACAAGACCATCTCCTGTGGGAAGGTGCTTGAAAACAGCCAATTGATGTCCTCATCGATTGAGAGAGATGAAGTTTCTAATCTGACTGTTTCCGTTTTCCCACCCCCCACCCCTCCAGCACGGGAACAATTCTGATCCTGTCGCTCGTGGGGGAAGTACTGGGTGGTTTACCATCCTTTCGCCCTAGGGTGCAAATCGCGCAGCAGAGGAGCTGAATGGAATGATTCGAGCTGAAAGAGGACTTTGAAATATTAGGCTCCATTGTGCGACCTCCCCGCCCCCTTCCAGTTTTAAAGCACAGTCGTGAACACAGGACTAATCCAGCCTTCAGAAACAAGCCCGCCCGCACCCCCCACAGAAAGGCGATGTCTCCTACCAGGGGATAACAAAGGGGGACTCACCCCAGATCAAAGTAAGCAGCTGGGCCTTGGGGATGAGGCAGAGGGAGTAGACAGCGCCGATGTGAAGCAGTGTCATTAGGACGACATTCCTCCAGACAATCTGCTGGCGATATCTGGCGCTCCCCTCGCTGCTCTCGGCTTTTGATGCTAACGGGCTTTCTTCTCTCCCCTCACAGAAGGGGCTGCTTGTCTCTCCATCCACTGCACAGCTGGCTCCCGGGCCCGACATAGCTAAGAAAGCGAGGTCTGCGTGTGCGTATGCGCCCGAGCTTGTGCGGTACCCCACAGACCAGGGTCTGAGAGCAGCTACCAGCCAGCCAGCGAAGGGGAGTAGTTGCTTGCTTGGAGGGTTGATGATTTATTATAACGGATGACGAGTGTTCTTCTTGTTAGGTTTGGGGATTTTCCCCCCCTTCTTTCCCCTCCAGACCAGTTTTAAATGAACCCTACGAATGCAAGTCCTGGCGCACAGCATCTGTTGCTAGCATCTCATCCATGATGCTCCTGCTGTGCCAGGGCTGAACTCGGCACAGCAACAGAGGGAAGAAAAAAAAGGGGGGAGGGGGAAAGAGAAAAAGAGAGTGAAAGACAGACCTGCATAGCTACAGCCAATCAGCACTACACGTGGGGCTCTTCAAGAGAGCGGCTCTGGCCGCTGTTGCCACATATTGGCTAGACTGAATAGTCCCCCGCACACGCAAACGGAATGCAAACACTGAGAGGGCGGGATTGAAGCAGAAGCGGTGGCCAGATGCAACTAGTCCTCCCCAAAGGCAGCCAAGCTTTTGTGAGGTTGCTGCGCCCTCTTAATAGGCCCTCACTTGATGGGGGAAAACCCCTCCATGCACCGAATCAGCCTGCACTCCTTCAGCACAACGGTGCCTGCTTAATATCAATTGCTGTCAAAGGACATATAATTGAACATCAATTGAAAATCCCTGCTCTAAACAGGATTGAGGGCCCAATCCGGCTCCCACTGGAAAATCAGGCCCCTTAATGATTACTCATAGAGTCCCAGAGTTAGACGGGACCTCAGGAGGTCATCTAGTCCAACCCCCTGCTCAAAGCAGGACCAATCCCCAGACAGATTTTTGCCCCAGATCCCTAAATGGCCCCCTCGAAGATTGAGCTCACAATTTGGGGTTTAGCAGGCCAATGCTCAAACCACTGAGCTATCCCTCAGATACCACAGGGAGAGGGCAGTTTTTCAATGCATTGAACTGTTGAGTGATCTATTTGCAGCCTTGCTGCCTGCAATGAATGTGCAGTAACCAGACTGTTAACAATGTTATGGGCAATCTGCTGATAAATGGGCCTCCCACCTTGACCCTCGTTGTGAGCTCACTGTAAAAATGGTGGGAAAGTGGCTATAGGTGCGTAAGGTGTCCCGATAAGCTATAACAATGCACGCTGATGGGGAAAGGAGCCACGGCTGGTGTTAAGATCATGCCTGGTAAACAAGAGACATGTGGGACCAGAAATCAGTGAACCAAAATTGGTGGTGAAAATTAGGTCTAATTGGTGAACCAAATAATGAGGGAATCCACAGCTCCCCTTTGGGGCCCTCATAAAGAGACTTGGAGGGAAAGCTGGCTACCCCGATGCTGGCTGACTGAAAGATGACAGAAGAGGAAGGAGTGAGCTTCACTGCCATGGCTGCCACCCCCACTGTCTCCTGGGTCCTCAGCCCCTCTTCATCCTAATCTTGAGAGATGTTCTGAGCCAGCTGGGCCAGATGACATCACCATCTCCACTAGCTCCAACTAAATCCCAAATACTACCTGGGATGTGAGACTGCGTTGTGTCCCCGGTCTACTCCACGTGCCCTTTTCCTTCCCACCTTATTACTTTTCTTTCTTAGCCCTCTCCTTTTTCCTCTGGTCTAATAAGGGCCTGGCTTAACAAGCCAAGACTGTATATTTAGCAATGCTGTTGTAAGTGGTGACCAGAGAGGCAGCTAAATGCAATGCCCTAAACAGCCAACTGCTGGTATGAGTTTGCCAGGTCACAGAGGTGCTGATCAGACCATGTGCGGGGCCTGTGTTTTTCAGCAATAAGAGTCAATACTGGAGACAAAAGCTGCATTTTCTGTCTTTGCCGTTCTCTTTTTTTTCCCCCTTTGGTGTGTGTTTGTCTGGATTTGTCTTCTAGGAAATGGACTCCAGCCTATCGCCACTAACGTCTTCTCTTTTCCCCAAAAGGACAGTTTGTACCCTCTCCAATACCCTCTCAGAGGGGTTTCCTGCTAAAAACTCTCTCCAGCTAAAGAGAAAGAGAACAAAGAATGTTGTTCAAAAGAAAAGCCTTATTTAATAGTGTGCATTTCAAATGCATTCAAACTAGCTTCTGTTTTCTTCGGGTATCTTTAATAAAAGGTAAAAGGGATTTTTAGTGGTGTCTTGGTGATGGTACCAAGCAGGCTGAGGTCTCTGTATACCAAACCCTGAACCTTGTTTAATGTCACAGGGTCATGCTAACACCTTTGATGTTTTGGACCCATATATTCCATCAAAAGTAAAACAACAGCAGCTAGTGATGATTGTTTCCTTTTTTTCTTTTAGTGGAGGGGGGAAGGTTTCTGTGAAAAATCTCTCCACTTCGGTTTTATTGTCAGTGGGTGGCAAGTTGAATCCCTTGTTGGGAAATCCCAGCGTATGCCATCAAGTGCTGGGGCAAAGAGATGCCCCCATAGGTGGGTTTGACTGCAGCTAAAGGGAGTGAGCCGCACTTGATGGAAGTAAGTGTCACTGCATTGGGGCTGCACCAGTCACGCTGGCTGATGCCCATGGCCATCTTGTCTGAGTGGGTCCTGCTCCAAAGCGCAGTGACCTACAGCAGATTTAAGTTGCTGTCCTACTCCTTCCCAAAAATCCCCTTTTCTGCAAGGATTGGGCTCTACGCTTCATAATTATTCACTGCTCTGCAGAGAGGCAAAACAAGACCTAGGTCTCTGCACAGGGGTGAATTCCACCCTAAAGGCCCAAATCCCGCAGTCCTTGCTCAGGGCCATAATGCCCCCTACTTCCATGGATAAGCCAGCAGGAGCAGACCAGAGGGGTAGGGAAACTCAGTGAGGTGGATGTCATGGGCAATCCTGTAAATCTTCCCCTTGAAAGGCTTGGGGAGGGTGGGGGGTGTCTCCAAACCTCCTAGATCACATAATTCTGCTGCAGCAAGAGATTAGAACCATCCTGCATGCACAGCTGACCCTCCTTGTGGTCCCACTGGCTGGGTCCCCCAGCTCTAAGCTGTCATAACTCCAGCCATCTGGCTTTCATCAAATAAATCAGGCAGTTGAGTAGGGGAGGGTGCCATGAAGAGAGATCTCTTCCCTGCTCCTCCCCCAGTCACACCCCTAAGGCCCTACTCAGTCACTCCCAAGGAGTCAAGGGTGGGAAGGATGGACTAGCTCTACAAGGCTTTTCCAGCTCGGAGCCTGGCTCCTCCTGCCTTAGCCCTTCTCTAGAAAGTGTGTGTCCTGCACCCACTGCTGTTGGTCTCAAACTTCTTTTCCTTGGTTGCCCAGGTAATTATGATTCTTCAAGATGCTTTAGGGGGCCATGCATTGAAAAGGGGGGCAGCTAATTCAGAGATGGAATCTTTTAAATAGTTGTCTAGAGGGGGGTGTGATTTGCTTCCAGATTTCACATTGTGCAGTAGGGATTTCTGTTTATAGGTTTCCGTTTAGCTATGTGAATACCTCTCTTTAAGCGCATCCCACTGATATCCCCAAATTAAGACTTGAATGAGAGTTGATTTTTTTTTTCTCTGTGTCTAGAGAAAATCCTCTTAAGTGATTGGCTGATTTGAGGATAGGCAACACCCCTATTAGACTGTGCTCCTAGGGCCTTGATTCAACAAGGTACTTGAGTACCTGCCTAGCTTTAAGTATGCGATTAGTCCAATTGACTTCAGATCAGAATCAACTATCTAAGAGAAAATTTCCTCTAGATATGGATAGAAATCAAATCTTAATGTGGATTATATCTATAAAAGCTGTATCCCTTTCCCCTCACAATGGGGGGGAGGAAAACTAGCAACTACTTTTGTAAGCAACAGCTCCTAACGGTGCTAGAAAAGTGCCAAATATTATCTTCTCAGTTCTTAGTGTCTGAGCTAGGCTTTCACTAAGTGACCGTAAGCACTTCATTAAGGCTGCTGACTTTCAGATATCTTTGTTCTGTAAGCCAACTCCCACCACCCAAAAAGTGCTTCCTGATCATAGGCAGCACCAGACATTCGGGACGGAATCAGCTAATAAAATTTACTCCCCTGAAAATAACAAAGAAGCCATTGAAGTAAAAGGAGCAATAAAGGGTACATCAGTATTCTCCAGTTTGTCCCCTCCCCAAAAGCATTATTATTTTAGTTTTCACATGTGCATGCATCTAATCTTCCATCCATTTTTTTTCCAACTCGGCCTTGGCCTTTGTTTCTCACTGTATCTGCAGCCTCATTTTTGTGTGCCGTGTCACTTAGTGTTTGAAAGGCAGAATCCTGTGGTGTTCTAGATCCTAGAGTAGGATTTGTTAATACAGAGTTCACCAATGTCCAGAGGATGACCCAGATTCACAGAGAACTGGGGGGGGGGGAGGGAGGGGGGGGGAGTAGTATACTGTTAACTAGTGAATGGCTTCATATGCTGCTGATACCACAGAAGGGAAGAGAGTCCTGAACAATTTATGGTATTGTGAAGTTATTTAAAAATCAGATGTCAAGATCAAGTAAAATATTTGCCTGCAACTCCTTCCTTAAATTCTTGAATGGTTCCCTCACTACAAATGTTCTCTGCGTGTGTTTGCAACACACGTTGTCTTCAGTTAATTGTTTTGGGGTCACTGGCATTAGTAATTTAATTTGGACTGATGGGTTATTATATTTTATTCCTTCAGGGGTGCAAATATTTAGGATGTTCAAGGTCAGTCTTTAGGTTAAGTTCAAGTGTACATAGTGTCAGTTTAATAGCAGCTACATGCTTTCTGGCCACATCCTCAGAGGGGGACAGACTCAGTGATTTAATGAGTCTCTTCCACCTCTAAAGTCCTTTGATATGAGGCTCCACGCTGGTGCACTTACACAGTAATAGTTGCATGGCTGCAACCTCTAATGTAGATACACTCCACACACAGTGGAGTTCACAGAAGTATAACTGCATCTGGTAAATTACCGAGTGAACTGTACTAGGAGAAGGTAATTTTGTGCTGATGCAGGGCCTCTTCATCAGGGGTTTGTGCCTGGTGACTGCACTGATGCAGTTACACGGCTACCAATGTCCTTAATGCAGACAGGACCTTCTAAAAATCAACTAGGTAAGCTTTTCAGCCATCAGTAACATATGGAGGCCAGGGGTGTATCTTAATGAAAAGATCTACAGCAAAATCATTCATCCAGACCTCAGTTTAGCAAGGTACTTAAGCACATGCCTAACTTTAAGCACATGACTTCAGATGGACGTCAAGAAGTCCTACTGACGTCCATCTGCTTAAGCAGATTAAAGTATATTTCTGTAGCGCGACCTACAACACTAACTCTTTAAATGCCTTCTGGAACAAAATCACATAATACAA